CGATCCCCGGACCTAAACCCATGTAATTATTTCATTTGGGGAGCGTTGAGGACCACAGTTTAAAATAACTTTTCAGTAAATACAGAAAACGAATATGGGAAAGAATACAACATGAAATTAATGTTATGAGAGGTAATGCACAATTATTGGATAATTTCTAATTTTCGAAGAACTAATGTTTGCGTTTAAGAACAAGAAAGTAACTTTGAGCATTTACTGTAATATTATTTTAATGTGATTACAAATATCAGTTTATTTAAAATGTTAATGTTGACTTTCTTACATTATTAGTTGATATTGTTTATTTAAAATATTAGTGTTGATTTTTATTTTATTGATTGATAATACTAATACCAAAAATGTGTAGTTATTTTTTTTTAATGTGACGTTTTTTAATTATTATTATTTGAGGCTGCAGTTATAAATTATTTTTTATAAATCCGAATTTTTGCGTATATTTAATGAATAAAAAATGCAAATTTTACTCGAAATTCATAAACGATATCGAAATTTTGTAAGAACAAAAAAAATCTTCTAAAATACTGCTTATTTTGAAAAATATAAATTCTGTCGTCATTGGCATACACACAAAAAAGTTACGGGATAACCAGTGGCGCACAGGCACTAGAAATAGGACATCCTGTACATGTATTCTCTCCAAATTCCATATTTACCTTGCCCTTATATAAAAAAATAAGTGTACCAAATTTGAAGTTTCTAAGAAAATTTCAAATTATTTGAAAAAAATAGGTTATCTATTCTATATTTAGAAGGCTATATCTAGGTAGGCGTGCACTCTTGTATATAGGTAAGTTAGGCTAAATAGTCTTATTTTCATCCAAGAAACCTGTGGTCAAGCGTTGTCCATCCTTTTCAGGGACACCCTGTAAAAAGGACGTTTAGTTTTTCCTTAAGGGCCCCATATTCTTTAAATAGTGTTTTCCGCAAAGACAAATAATTTCAAACATTTAATAACTGAATAATCTAGAGCTTATTAAATAATAGGAATGTTATGTCATGCCATCTGGGTATTTTCAAAGACGCCGCAGTAAAACGAATAAACAGGTGCAAAAAACGATCAAACCATCAAGGTTTTAGGTACTGAAATCTACGAAAATACTAACTTTTTTATATATAATTCCACATGTAAATATTCTTATAACATTTACTTGCTTAGTCCTACATATAAAATTGTTTACTTTTATTTATAAGTACGTGAAAATAATTCTTAAAATGTGGGGTTAGAATAACAGCAAACGCATGTT